CCAAAAAATACGTAAGAAAAATTTCTGAAAATAGAAAAAAACTATAGAATTTTTTTTAAAAAAATAGAAAAAATCCTAAAAGACTTCAAAAAATCTAAAAAAATCCCAAAATTCATATTCAACATTAAGAGATCCTGAAACATCCAGAAAACTAAGGAAATCCTCCTCCAATCCCTAAGAAAAGCTTAGTAGAATGTACCTAAAATTCTTAAAATTTTCCTCTATCTTAGGAACCCTAGATCTAGGTCAAAAAACCTTAAATCTACTAATTCCATGAGTATAATGCATCCAAAAAGAGATGGTGGCGCAAATTAGAAAAATGATATGATCCAAGCTTAAAACTACGACTTCTAGGTTTTTAGAGGTAAATATCCCTTTCTTTCTCCAATTTATTCTATTTTTTAATGGACACAATTTCTATGTGGTCAGCCCACATATTGTAGAAATGCAGGCTTGACAATAACTCTATATTTCATATAATTTGATCTTAATTTTTAGAGAATATATAATCTTTAACATAGAGATCATGAATATATATATAAAAAAAAGAATTTTAAAACTAGAAATAACAATTATATTAAGAAAATATTTTGACCGTTAGTTACAATTGTTCTAAGGTGAGTGATTTGAGGTAAGACTTTGTTTTGTTTTCATAAAACCTAGGCCCTATAGAAACCGCATCCTTTTTTCCTTGCATTGACCATTATTGCAAAATATGCATTTTTTTTCCATCCCGTTTCCATTGTAAAGGGAGGTAGTAGGTGCAAGTCTTTCCACTAAAATCAGAGGGAGGTTAAGTGATTTGCTCAAAGATTTTTCCCTTGGACTCGCTCATATGGTCTTCAAGCAGTGATGTGGTTGAAATTCTTTTAACTCACACTTCCGTGGTTATGACAACATATCTTGGCCCATGTGTGTGCAAAAAAGAAACACTTATATCTTTTGATAGATTGGAAATCCATGGAAATAAAAGGGGTCCCTTCTCCACACTTTTTATTATTTTTGTATCTATCTGCCAATAACGTGATCTGGTCTTGGAGATATCTCATACCATGAGCAATTAGGAATTCCATAGAATTAAAAAGGAGGGCCCCTTCTCCATACTTTTCATTCGCACTCTTCTTTTTATAATTTTTGTAGCAACCCAACAAGATAGTATGTCCTTGAAATAAGCTCACATGCTCCCTACATGCTCAATTGAATACCTAATTTATGCACAGATTTGAAGCATTTCAGGGGGAAATTACTAAAACTTTCCCCAAGTCCGGTTGTATTTGGGCTAGTATTCTTTGTATTATTTCTTAAAACATAAAATCGAGGTTTGGATCTAGGGCTGAGAATGGGTCGGATCCATTGAGATCCAAATTCGGATATGAAAAGTATGCATGCGATCAGGATTCTGATCCCCCGTTTGTATCCAGAATATTCGGATTTGGATTTGGATCCAAAAAGTATACATGGGATCTAGATCCGAATCCAAACTTGATCGGATCCAAAAAATTCTTTTATATATTATTTTATATTCATAAAATAATATATAACAAAAAAAACTATATAGCATATATGTATATATAATCTAATATATAATATTTTAATAATTGGGATGTATCCAGATCAGATCCACTTGTACTTGTATCCGATCCAAGCACTATTTGGATCCAGATTTTGGATTCAAATCTGACCCATCATATCCAAATCTTGGATCCATCTTCCAGATTCGGATAGGGTTTAAAATTTGGGTTTCAGATCCAAACTGGGTAAATTCTCAGCCCTACTGCTTCTTCTTTATTGGTCGTGGGGGATCCAAACCAATTATTATTTCTATTAAAAATGGATACAAGAAATCTTAGGGAAACACAAAGTAGGGGTGACAAAGGGTCGGGAAGGGGTCCAGGTTTGGCTAGATGCCGACCTAGACCTAAAAATATACTGTGAGAAACTAATACGGAACCAAAAATAAACGAATATAGACTCGAAAATATACTATGAGACTCGGACCTGACCCAAAAATCATTATATATATATATATATATATATAAATGATCTTACTTCTCTCCCACCAATGTGTGTCAAATCCCAAAGGATCACCATTAAAATTGACACAGATTTTTAGAAAAGTCAAGTCTTACACCTAGGTGATAACATTTGTAGAGATTCGTATCAACTTTGGTAATGGTTCTTTAAGGTCCTACACAT